ACACAGGGGTGTGGCTAGAGGAGGTTGTGTGGTAGGGAAACAATGGTACTTACTGCAACGTCGAGCTGGTCCAGGGGAACGGCCTCCTCAGCTAACAGCTGCACTGAAGAGTCAGAATTGACTGTCACGGAGCCACTGCTAACTGTTAACGCACACACAAACACAGTGAACACACATACAGTGAAGCACTTGATCTTCACATTGAAATTATTCTTTAAAGTGGATATATAAAAGTCACTTGAAACATTGATAAAAGGTAAAAAAGAAATTCATAACTAAGGCACACCAATCACTCATGGTTTAAATTATATAACTAAGTGAAAATAATTCTAGACAAAGTATTATAAAAAGTTCCCTCTATATATACCTGTGCCTCTAATCCTAAAAAAATTACTTAAATTAGTTAACTTAACATTACTACTTAAACTTATTGGTCTGCATCAACCATAGGATTTGGCTGGTCGTATTCATTTGTGCACAAATCAGCAGAAAATTACAATTCACATGAATCTTGTACATGAAATTGATCCATGTTATAATTTAGTATTTTGCATCATTCCATAAAAAACAAAGTTTTACTATTAATAGATGACCTAACCAGCGACTCTGGACTTTTTTTTCCTTCCTCAAAAATAAAATCTGACTGTGATTCTATCATATGTTACAACCTTATTTGCAGATCATAGATTAGTAAAAGATTATTGTGGATATATTAAAAATGTGATGTGAAGTGATGTGTTGCAACAGTTTCTAGATTACACCTCACATGTTCACACCCTGCAGCTAATCACTGTCTAAAACACATTCTTACCAAAGTATTTGACAGAGGAGCCATCGTCACTGAAGACTGTGACAACACCGGGCCTGAGGACCTGCAGGGTGGGCACGTGAGCAGGGAGGATGCCGAATACCCCAGTTAGTGTGGGCACATCAACCTGTTTCACACTAGCCTCACTGAAAAACACCTGCAAAGACAAGACAGGACAGGACACAGGGGCATTAGAAGAAAAACAGAAGAAGAAAGTTTGGATAACTTTTAAATATTTAGAAAACCTAATTTCATCATATAAAAACTATTAACAGACTTGGGTCTTTCTCACGAGCTTGAACTTTATGTAAAATATGTATATGCCAGTGGATGATGCGGTTAAGAATATACATTCCTATCATCAAGGGTTGACACAACTTATAAAATTGCACGAATTACCAACTTTATGTAAAATATGTATGTGGAAATATGTATATGCCAGTGGATGATGCGGTACATAGCTCTACTGTTCTGTGGAGCTGTACTCATTCGAGTTCATGTCAACGCATTACAACAACATACACATATCCTGCTGTATTATAATTATGTTTAAAACTGTAAATAAACTCTCTCTTTATAAAAGTTATATAACTGCAATTTACATGCTTTACTCCCAACATCAAACATGCAAAGTCAAGGTTACTGCTTTGCACTAAATGATTCTTACGCTGTACTTGCTGCAGCATTGCTTCATGTATGTGCTGTTGGATTTTATTTGTTATAAATACCAATGATCAATGCCAAACACAAGCTGCTTTTCAAAGACGTTGAATGACAGTGAGCATTCGTTAGCTTGCTATGCTAACCTGTTTTCTGACACTGCAAACTACCATCAACAAACGATGAGATTTGTGAATTCAATGCAAGAAGCATTGCTTCCAAACTGCGTAACGACCACGTTGGTAGAGTTTATTACAACATGTGGGTAATCTGTAGAAGACGCGCGTTGTTACTTAGCAAAATAGCTGCCCGGGCCCGTTAAGCCTCGCTAGTAGCATTGACTTTGGCTCATTCTAGTTACCTGTGACGGGGAGGCGAAAGTAAAGGACATCTGCGGACCACCAGGGCCGGCCTCGGCGTAGGAGCGAGCCTGCCTCAGCACAGGCAGAGCGCGGCGGAGAAACCTTGCTGCCATCATGTTTGAAAACAGCTTTTTATTCAAGTACAGTTGAATGACAGGGATCCCCAAGCCCTAGTGTGAAGGCGGTGTGCGCTTGGTAGGACAAGGACGTTTGCAACCTTCCCAGAAACCTTCACGATGGAGTAAAGCATGCTGGGTCTTTGAGTCTTCGAGGCATTGATAGGTGCACACGACAAAACGTGGCTTCGCGATAATAGAGAACCGAAAAATAAATGCAAAATGAGAAATGTAAATAAAAACACTTTACTGAGCTAAGTCCGATTAAAATGTGTTTTATTAAAAAAAAAACAACAACATTTAAATAATGAAGTCAAATTCAATTATTATGTTTTGGTTATAAATTGAATCTTTCTTTAAATTTGTTGTAAACAAGTTTCACTTTCCTCATTGTCAAATTTTAGTACTTAAAGTGGATAATCCGCAATACCCAGTGGAAAAAAAATAAATATCTTGATTGATTGTATTTCTTCTCGCCATTGACAATCAAGTATATATGAGTATATGTGGCAACCTTCCCTCATTATTAGAGCAAAGTATTTTGTTAAACCACTGTGGCATTAAAAATAAACGCACACATATGTACAGACACCAAATAAGTTAGCTTACGTTGAATCATGTATTGTTTGAGAGAGTAATTACCATACTCCGCCACTAGATGGCGCCTAACGACCGCTCAAAAGGTGGCTGGGCTCCATCTTGTGATATTGATTATACTGTTGTCTAGCAATTGGCTAGACAAATGAGACAAATATGTGAGGATTACTGTTAGTTATGGTAAGAACATTTGATATTATGCAGTCATTACCGTTATAACATGACGAGGCGCGTTTTAGTTGGTCCCTTAGCATTTTTAGGTAACTAACGTTCGAGTAACTCGTAGGAAGTTTTTATTCAACCGCAAATAGAGGGTGAGAGAGAAAGGGAGAGAAATGCGCCATTCTCCTTCTACTAGCAGCATTGGAGAAAGGCTGTAAGTGCTTCATTGATTCCAAATAAATATATGTTAAATTACATTGTTTCTTATCTGCCAATTCAGAGAGAAGGGTTTTCCACCCCAAAATTATCACAGCTTTAAAAAAAATAGTCAGGGTTATTGTCTAATTGAAGTCGGTATACCTAATATGCATCGAAAATGTAAATTTAGCACAAAAAATGATTACAGTGATTTGAAATAAAATATAAAGTGGGCTTTCCATGGTAATACAAAAATTAAATGCAGAAAAAGTAGTTTGGTGTTGGACTTTATCCGGTTTGGACCGTTATATGGAAAGCGTTGTAGTTCAACACATAATGTCGGTCTATTGAATACATGTGCATTACTGTTGTGCTGAAACACATCAAATGAAGTTGTCTTGGTTCAAGTTGATGCAACATGTACCTTAAAACAAACAGATCATGTGTTCTGTGGTCAGGTGGGTTAGAACTGTTGACGTCAAGAGCTTGATCAGCCAGTATCTGTGGGTCATCAGCACCCATGACCTGCTGGGTTATATGTGAACTAAATCAACGGGGTTTTTAGACGTGACAATACCAGGCTGAACTTTAAACACGGTTTAAACAGCCTGTCTGCCTGTCATCCAGTTTCCTTTCTAGACTGAGTTCTATAGTGATCCCTGTGACTTTCTTCCCCAGACCCCTGCCAATCCTTAAACCCCCTCCTCACTCATAATTTCGCTCTATATCCCAGTGTCACGTGGTGGGGGCGTGTCTTAGACGACGAGGTTTCATTCATAAATAGTTTTTGCCTTTAAAAAATCTACATTAAAGTGTTGGTGGAGGATCCTCACGGCGTCGGCTTTGTACCAGCAACCCTTAGTGGAGCGGTCAGTAGTGGAGGAGGTGAGTTGTTTGTTTGTTTGTCTGTTCTGTCACTGGAGATGGTGAGATCCCCTCTGCGCGCGTGTATTTGTGAGACTGTGCATGTGTCCACCGAACTGATGGGAATTGTGAGCAGCTATAAAATAAAACATGATATATTGGTGCAGATCAATAAATCGACGCTGCTCGTAACAGTTCGGGTTTTCTTTGAACTTCTTGAATCGGCCGTCGCTTTTCATCAAATAGATCATGTGAGTTCCAGAGTATTTACGGGCTATTTTGTATCGCCAAAAGAACAGCTGTCCTCGGCAGTGCCCATTGTAAAATGTTGTGTTTTAAAAAAAACTGAGCGTCATGCAATTAAAAAAAGGAGAAGCAAAGTAAAATAAAACGTACAAATAATCGAGAATGAAACGCGCGTACCTGGAGAATTGCTATCTTAACGGTAACGCGCATGCATGATAGTGGTGAGGTTGGTAATATAGCACATATAGTAAGGTTTTTGTGAAGCATGACGGGATACGGTTTCACCGGGTCACACACATGTCAACATCTACTTAGCAAACTGATCAATAAAGCGATGCTTATGGGCTGCTGGACCACAGATGTCACCAGGATTAGCTGTCAACCATATGTTTATTTTTACATTATATATACATATATATATATATCACGTTTCCTAGACCTATATGTTACTGTTATGTTATCTTAATACTGATGTTTGGTATCATTTTGATTGAGAAATGAAACCATTTCCAGATGAATACCATAAAAGGAAGATGAATGCAGACACTAAGGTAACAAGAAAATGTATGAAGCAGCCTGCCGTGTGTGTACATTTGTTATTAGCATCACATTCACTTCCGTCCTGTTGCATAGAGGCCAGCGGGCCAGCCCTGAAGTGGGGGGAAATACTGCTGCTGTTGGTGATGGTGCTCAGGCTGGTTGGCTAAGATGCTGAGGATGCAGCGTGGGAGCTAAGAAGAGGAAGGAGGAGGAGGAGGAGGAGGTGGAGGCTTGTGGAGCCACAGCCTGATACACACACACTCTACACTCATCCAGAGCTAGTCCTGCTGCACACTGCCCTCCGTTAGGGCTGGTCTACTGGGCTGGTGCAAAGAAGGATGTAGGTGCAGTGCTGCAGAGGAGAGAGTATTCCTAGGTGCGGAGGTTTGTGCAGTGTGGTAGCAAAGAGCTCAGCAGTGGCTCACAGGTTATTTTGCTGAAGTTGAGTGCTGCAGTGAGTGGCAGGCAGGCAGGCAGGCAGGCGGATGAGCAGTACTGAGTCCTGCTGGCATGTTGCTTCTTCCTTGCTGGGTAAGTCAATCTCTCCAGGCTGTGTTTGAAGTGTGTGTGTGGTGCAGTATTACTGGCTCTTATTTGACCAAAAGAAGAGCAAACACCACGTTCAAACTTAGCTGCCGGAGAAAGAGCTAGTCTCTGTTTGCTGCATGCGCGTGTGTGTGTGTGGGTGTGTGTGTGTGGGAGGTAGGCATAGGGGCAGATATGGAAGTATGATATGATGACTTACAGGCAAGATACTAACATTTGCCCCCTTCTGCGTGCATACACACATACCAGCACACACACATATATTGGGTGAGTGTCTGCCTCTTCTTGCAGTGTTTCATAATTGGTTTAGACATATTCATTTTTGCTGCAGTGGTGGTTGTTTTTTTTCAGACAGTTTTACAGGAGGTTTCTTCACTTCACGGCTTTTAATTTTAAATTCAATATGGTCTGTTTTGGTTCAGTGCTCTAACATTAATCACCCTTCGTGTTCAGAGAAGTTTTGTTCACAGTACAGTAGACGGAGAGTTGCGACGCTGCTAAAAATGCATTGCTTTCCCATGTTGACTTTGTGACATGATGAACAGCTCAGTAACAGGCATTTCCTCCCTGCTCTTGTGTGTGTCCATGTGTTGTCTCTCAGTGGGACTCTCTAGCTGGCCTGGACCATGAGCAATGAGTCTACCGTCTGGAACCCCCTACCAGAAAACTCCACAGTAAGTCTGCCTTTCAGTTCAAAGTGTGTGTGAGTGAGTGAGTGTGTGTGTGTCGTGAGAGCGTTTGTAATTCATCAGTACTGCTGGCATATTTCAGGACATGTTATGATAAACATGTAAATACCCTGAGGCTAAACTTTAGCTTTGTGCGCGTTCGTTTTTATTCTCTTTTTTTTATTTTTTATCAAACTTTAACTATCTCAAACTGACTGTTTATGCCATTCAAACCCCCATGATTTCGCCTCATGAAACAGAGCTATAATATGTTAGGTCAAATCCAAGCTAATGTTAAGTTATTTTCAAGCTCAGCAAAGCCAATTTGACAATTATTTTAGTGTAAATAAAAACTTTCTGGTCTGAATTTGTGGTAATATATTTTCCACTAATTTTAAATTATTTCTCAGTTAGGAATTATTTTGCTGAGCATTTCCTGCCCTCTGCCTTACGCATGAATCATCTTCCTTTTCATTCTTCCTTTCGACTAAGTTACGTGCGCTACGGATGTGTTCAAGGATTCTTTTTCATGAAGTTTTGTAAAAACCTTAGTGTTCTACAATAATAAGCCTGTGCTTATTTTTAAATTCTCTCTTTCCATTTCTCAGATTTTTTTTAGAAATAAACCAGTTCCACTGAAAACTTTGTCTCAGGAAACTATTACCACCAGTATGTGGGTGTCTGTATGGGTGTGTCTCAGTACCAGAACCAGATTTTGCCTCATGTTCTCTTTTGACCGATTGACTGGCTAATAGAGAACATCCTGACCTGGACCTGAAATAATTAAATCTGTGATCTAATCTCAGATTTAATTTCCTCTTGCAGAGAAATTACAGCGTGACGTCAGAGTTCTCTGCTCATTAACTCTTCTTTAACTGTTGAAGATGTATTTGTAATGACAGAGATATACATTTGAAGTCCTTTCCTTTGTTTTAAGAGAAGCGTTCCCTGAATGTCCGGCTCCGTTCTGTTAACAGTTAAAAGGCTTCTCCACAGTCTGCCCAGGGCTCTGATTTACTCTCCTTCATCCCTCCCTTAGCTGGCCATAGATCATGGTATGATGCAGACAGGTTTATAGCGCTGGAACTTATTGATGAAGTGCATTGTTGCATTTATAGATTCACTATAGGTGAGCTAAAATACCAAATGGACTGAATTATTCACAAACCAAATATCTGGGTACCTGCTAAAATAACTATTTCTGCATCGCTCTTCTAACCATCGGGGAATAAAAGTTGACTTTTTGAGTAAGTAATATCATGATTACATAGCAATAATCTAGTAAGTCAGATAACTGATGAGTATAGTGGTTTGGTTTTCATCCAGACAGTTTTGTTTTTCCTCTTTACTCAAGCTCTTTAGCCAGTGTTATTCAATCCTGGGGTTGTGACCCTAAGTAAGGTCACAAACCAATTCAAATGGGATCGCCTGAAATGTCTAGTAATTGCTAAAAAAAAAAGCTGTTTCTATTATAAATAAAACCTTAAACTTCTGTATTCTTTCACTTTCATGAATATAAATCAAGGTCAAATAAAATACAGAATATAAAGACATCTGTGCTGGCTGACTGAATTCTTCACTGTGCCCTGTTTCCTCATTCAGGGGATCCCAGTCAAGGCCAAAGATCAACAAGATGACCATGTACTCATTTTAGTGGTTCTCTCCATCTTCCTGGTGGGAACGGTGATCTTCATCTCTGTCCTTCTCATCATCTGCCGTCGCTGTTGTCGAGGGGGACAATGCTGTGACAGGTGCGGTGCTAATTTGTCTATTACATCGTGACTTAATCAGTCCAACTGGGACCTCTTTTGTCCAGCATCTCTCATTATCTCTCTTTTCACAAATTGTAGTAGTCCAAGTAATGGATCCAATTATATATTTAATGACACAAAACTCCTTTACATCCAAAGCACTAACGGTGAGCAACCAAAGCTATTTGGCACTGCAGGAGCTTTAACATTTTACCTGGTTTTCTTATAGAAAATCAAGTTACCCTCAGACTCTAGACCCACGATCAGAGCATTATAACAGACACAGCAAGTTAACAGGTGTTTAATGCATTTATGTAGTACTTCAGACACAAAGTACTCTGAAGTTGTCTTTGCAGAGGTCACGCAAAACTTTTAACTCTTTTCCTGTCCCTAGCAGTTGTTTTCTGTTTATCGCCTGACATTTCAGCTTAACCATCAGAATGGCATATGGTACAGTCTTAGGCTAACCCCAAATGCTGTCATTGGTGATGTGTGATTACTCCAGTTCCGGCCGGTTTCACTCAGACTTTACAAAAGATGACTATCGACTCTACGGAGGCCATCGAAAAACTCAAAGATCTTGGGACAGTCTCTGACCCAGCAGACTGCTGCTGATATTGAACGTATATACTGAGAGATAACAGCTTATTGGAATCACAAATGGCCTAAACTTCTTCCTGTTTACTGTACTCGTGGGGATTCTGAACCCAGAGTTATCTACTCTACTTGAAACTATGTGAAAGCATTCTCTCGTCGAAAATACCTACTCTGTTAACGTCAGTGCCCCCTTTGGGCCGGTTATTGAAACACCTATATAGAAGTACATTTAATATTTATGCTCATGTATTTGTGATGCCTCTTCAGCGTGTGCTGTAACAATGCTACACTTGAACTGCCTGGTCGCTCTCATCGGTCCATCCTCAGCTCGTAGGACAACACAAAGGCTTAGATAAACAGAGAGCACAAAGGCAGAGCTGTAAAAAGGCGAGGTTTGCTGGGGGAGAAAAGCAGGCAGCCTGGTACAAATGATGAGTGTAATGAGATTTCATAGCAGCCATCGGCTGTGATTAATCTTGCGCCGCAACCTAGCAACACACACACTCAAACTCTTATAGAAGGTATGGGGAAGCGGGAGCCACAAAGGAAATGAAAAAAGGAGTTCAGATCTAGGTGGATGCAGAAATCCTTCTAATCACTTCACACCCACACCCCCCCGCACAAATACAAACTACAATCTCTCCACAAATACACAAGGAGGAGAAAAATTAAATACAAACTACAATCTCTCCACAAATACACAAGGAGGAGAAAACTGTCTGGAGAAACACTTTCCTTTTTCTGTCTCATCAAGTCAATTCTTGGCCTGGGGTTGAAGCAGCCGTGTGGAAACCAGCAGCTGTTACTCTGAGACATAAACAACATTTATTAGGAATTTTACAATTATGCAAATTAGCAGCTCGTATATTACTGTGCTGTGCTGTCGCAGGTCAAACTGTTCATAGAATCTGAGGATTACGAACAAGCTTTTAATGTTTTTACTGTGTCAAAACTGCATTGATCTCAGTGGGGTTTTTTTGTGTTTGTTTAACAGGGCCAGCGATGACCCAGAAAAAACCACTACCACTTATACAGAGGAACCTCAGCCCACCCATGGTAAGAGAAAAAATGGACAAGGGTATATAGTGAAAGAGGTGCAGATAAAGAGGCAAGGTGTAAGGAAGAGGAGGAGGGGGTGTCCATCTCAACACAATTATCTTAAGTGCCATTCCTGGAACATATTTGGCTTTTTATATTTTTGGGATCAGTGATTGCATTTTGGTGTGAGGTTTCTATTTAACTTTATAAGTGCTTTTGTGAGGCTTTTTGTGTCTTAAAGAAATCAATACGACAGGATAAATGTGAATGGACTTCCATTTTTAGTACGTTGAATAAAAACCCATGGAACCAAAATAAGAATGAAACCCCCTCGTGTGTTTAGGGCTGGACCACCCACATGCCGCCCTCAACAAATGTCAGTATAATATAATCTGACCCACTGCTATGCTTTTAAGATTTTTCTTCAATCAGTTTCTTTCATCAGTACCAATATTTCTCCCTGCTCTTCCGTGTGTCACTGTACATCACTGTACATCTCCGCCTCACAAAACTGATTATTGTTAAACCACAAACAGGCTGAAAGCACACTTACGTCTATTTTTGCCACCGTCAGACTTCGCTTTTTCATTCAGCCCTGTGTGATCTGGAGTCTGTTTTATTTCCTTTCATTTCTCTGAGCAGCAATCACCATCAGGGTGGATGAGTCAGACTGCCTGTCAATGGCGAGCTCTCACAATCAAGAGACAGAGCGCTTCCTCTCCACCGGCACTACTGGCCGCCGTGTCTCCTTCAATGAGGCAGCACTCTTTGATCACGGCAAGAAAGCCCAGGAAAAAGGCCGCAGGTCAGTTCACTTTTCAAACTCTTTCTTAAAAATCACTGCCCACTGTGGTTTTGTCATAGTTTCCAGCACAATGTGCAAAGAAAAATTGCTTTATTAGGGAATATTGAAAAGAGGAATGAAGGCTAGCGGAAGAAAGATTAATTGGCGTGGAGTAGAGGAAGTAAAGGTGGACGAGTTCAGGTACCTCAGGTCGGAGGTGAGTAATGACCTGATGGATGGTAACGAGTGTGACAGAAGAATAGCAGCAAAGTTAAAGAGAGGACAGTAGTGAGACCTGCTATGAAGTACGGTTTAAAGCTCAAACTCATAAGTTGCAGAAACATTTATTAATATGTTATGGAGTAATTATATCTAAACAGTCTTACAGTTACAACCGACTCTTTAAGGGGAGCTGTATTGCTGATGTGGCCCCCAGTGAAAACCCCACACCCCAGTGGGCCAGTTTTGGCCCACGGGCCATATGTTTGACACCCTTGGTTTATGGTTTATTAATGGCTGAGTTGAAGAGGCAGAACTTCTCACTGGAAATGGACAGAGCAGTGGGACAGTTAAGGTGGAGCAGTTTGGACTTAAAGTTAGGGTGGTGAAGTGAAGATTGTTTGGACATGTGCCGAGGAAAGACAGGGAATGTAATGGACGAAGGATTCAGGAGATGGAGTTACCAGGTAGGAGGAAAAGAGGAGGACATGGGGATAGGAGGAAATGATCTACCATGGCGACCCCTGAAGGGAGTAGCTGAAAGAAGAAGGAAATTTGCCTTCATATTTGTCTGTTGTTCATGGATGAGTAATTGTCTGAGTAATCTGCAGTAAATATGAATGCGCGCAGATTGTGTATTGGATTGTGTGTTTTTTCCCTTTGCCTCCACAGATACACTCTGACCGAGGGCGACTTCCACCATCTGAAGAATGCTCGCCTCACACACCTGAGCATCCCTCCTCCAGCTCTTAAAATTGTCACTATTCATGAGTGTGACTCAGCAGAAAACACCATTACCATGACAACACATCCTGTTGCTAAGTCAGCCCTTTCCATTTTTCAGGTGATAATCTTGTCCTAATACTTACGTCCTGACATTAGAACTGATGATCGTGTGCCAATAAGGTCATCAGTTACTGAAACTAATGATTATCAAAATCTTTTCACAGCCAACACTGTGCCCCCTTCCACAAACACCACTGACCGGTCTGAGTGTCAACCCCAGCTGTGCTCTCCCCGGAGACACCCTCAACTCCTTGGTAGACACCAGCTTTAGTGAGAACACCATCACACTCAGCACTCAGGAGACCAGCTCCACCTCTGTAAGTAATCACTGTTTACTAACCAGCAACATTTCAGCAATGATTGACTCTAACATTAAGCTGCAGCTAGCTAACCAGCTAGCTAACCAACTTCCTGACTATGTTCACGTCTCTGCTCAGATTGAGATGGTGAGCACTGGCCCCCGGGGCAGAGGTAGCAGTGTCAGTGTCGGAGAAGGGGCCACGGTGTGCAGCGGCGCCCCCTTGGCCCACAGTGATGGAGGAAGTCATGGGCCGATGCAGCAATTCTTCACTAAACTGCGACGGCACGCTAGTTTGGAGGGTGCTAGTCCATACCTTAAGATAAAAAAATGGAAGCTGGACAGCAGCCAGAGAGCCTCAAGTCTGGACACCCGAGGTAATTGATTTGTGTTGTTAAAAACAAGGTGGTTGAAGTGTGGATCGTTTTTTTTTCTTTTCTTTTTTTACTTTTCATATCTGTTGTGTTTTTCTTTTGCATGCTCAGTCTATTTGGCTGTTCTGTCATGGTAAATAGACATTGGTTAGGCCCCGGGAGGTTCTTGTGACCGACTGTGAGTTGCCCATTGGCTGCCGGGACTCGCACATACACACCAATGCACACACATAGAAGACAGATGGCTCAGTGACGCAACAATTGGTCTTTCCAAGTTGGTATAGACCCTAGAGTGAATCCTCCCCACTGATCCGGTTCATCCTCTGCACACACTGCCTCCTCCTCGGCACCTGGTTCAATTTTCCCCTGAGACTTCAGAAGTTGATGGAGATTATGTGTTACTGCACTTGATGTTAGACAACCCAGTCCTGCCTCATCTCTCTCTCCCTCCCCCTCTCTCCTTCCTTCCTTCTGTCTCTCTGAGCCAGGTTCTCCAAAGAGGAGACATTTCCAGCGCCAGAGAGCAGCCAGTGAAAGCATGGACCAGGACGACAACAACTCCCACCACATAGACCTCATCCAGTACATTGCACGTACCCAGGACGTCACCTTCACTCCCAACCAACCCATGACCCGCCTCCTGTCACCTCCCTCTACACCTCCCCCCTCCCTCGGCAGGTATTTTTAATTCCCTTGCCATTCATCCTGTCCACTGCTTCGCTGCCTTGCACTCTTTTTTTTACCACAACTAGAATATAAATAATGTATAATGATGTCATAAATCTCAGACATTTTAAATATGTTTCCAGTATTTCCTGTTTCTGCATGTCTATGAAATATAAAAGTTGCTGATACAGTTCAGACGTACCAGGACTGACATCTCCTTACTGCATGCACTGTGAATTCTTTAGAATCCAAATGTAAGTAGGTAATTTCTCAGAGTTGCAACGCATTCCATTTATCAGCTAGTTTAAGTTTGAAACATGCAGCAGCATCCATTACCTACCATGATTGTCATTCTGTGAATATGGCCATGTTTTAAGTTAAAGTACGAGAGGAGAAAAAACAAGCTTCGACACTGGCAGTAGTTCCGCATTTCTGTATCCTTACCATTCATTCCTCCTGTTTGTTTTTTTCATCGTGTCCTTTCTTTACATCCTTGTGTGCACACTGTAGGTTAGAGGTAGAGGTGATGGTGGAGCCACACTGCAGCCGCGGAGGACCAGGGGTGATTGGCCTATCCCCTGATCCTCAAGATGAAGCACTGAGCCTGGAAAGAAAGGACGGTGCAGAGCCCTTAGACCCACAAGAGCCGCAGTACTCCCAGTCACTTTACAGAGACATCTGGAACCTTCGTGCATCACTGGAACAGTACGCCACCTCTGACCACAGCAGCAACAACGACAGGAACTCCGTCTGCAGTGACGCTGACAGCGTGTGCTCACTGGGGGGACGCACAGAGACAGAGAGAGGAGGTCTTCCCAGCTGCCTGTCCCAGGACTTAGGTGATGAAGCAGAGGTGGGAGATGATGACAGGGGATTTCTGATGTTTGTCGATGAGGCATCAGGTGTGAAAGAGGCCAGAAAAAGAAAACAGGGAAGCACCGAATCAGATCGAGGCACCAGTGATGGAGAAACCGGGACCCGAAAACTGCTGCAGATGGACAGCGGCTACGCATCCATAGAAGTTCCCTGCCGAGGTCCAGAAGACCTGAGAGTGTTTGGAGGCAGCAGTTTTACCAGCAGCATCAGCCCGAAGGACAGGACAGCTCATGAGAAGAGGCACCACTTTACCAAAGCAGGGCGCAGTGGCACTATTGGGGACAGTTTTGAGTCTCATCTCTTCGAGGAGGAGCCAGAAGATGAGATGTTGTTAGGAGCCAGTGGTGGAGTTTCCATAGAAACAGGGGCCGGTTCCCTGAGCTGGTTGCCATACGGGCAGATGCTGAGTCCTCGCGAGGCTGCTCAACTTCCACCTGAAGCACCAACTTTGCAGCAACGAGACTATAGCATAGATGAGAAAACAGATGCACTTTTCAACGAGTTTCTCCGTCATGACCCCCAGTTTGATCAACTGGAGTCACCGTTAAAGAAACACAGGTCACGCGTCCACCTTCGAAAGCAGTGGCAGCGCCACAAGCAGTGGAGTGACCCTGGCGTAAGACACTTGCATTCGTCCTTCGAGAGGCAGAGGACTCCCCTACGAAGGGGTGAAAGCGTAAATTACCCACTCGACACGAGCTACCACAGCACTTTACCGCGCATCGTCAGCGCTCCCGACGAGGAGACTGGCGATGGGACTGGCAGCACTCCAGAAACTTCAGAGGTACGGCCTCCTGCAGTACAGGATGGGAGCGGAGAGAAGGAGCACGGCACCGCTGTCAGAGACACTGAGGACCGTCCTCCATCTTCCCCTCGATCTTCACATCTCTCCACACTAGACAAAGACGAAGGGTTGGCTCCGCACTTTGACCCTCAGGAGGACAGCAAACAGTCAGGAATCACAGCCGAACCTGCGGATGAGCGATCACCATCTCAGCTCTCTGACACTCCAGGCTACGGCCCGCAGACCATCACAGCAGAGCTCACGGACAAACTGATTTCGAACCTTGACGAAAGGCTGTACGCAGGCCTCCGTAGGACCAGAGACACAGCTACTGAGTGTGTGACGGCGACGGCCACACATGCCTCTCCAGACCACAGCCCAGTGTAGCTTGGCTCAAGCCATTCTCTTGTCATCTTCACTGCAACACTACTCACATATTATCAGTAAAGTGTGCGTCGCTCCACGGTTTTAAATGTCTGTCCGTGTGTAGTTCGATTAGTGCAATTCAGACCCAAACGGAAACCACTGAAATTACCGTTGTTATAGTTTACGATGAAATCATTTAGTGGATGGACAATCGTAGGTGATCCACTAGGAATGTACCATGTCTTAGTTAGCGTTGAATTGCTGCCATTTCACAGTTGAAGATACACAGTGTATAGATAGAAGTTCCATACGGCTAACATGTTTGAATACTAACTGTCTTCTGTGTCTGCAGATTATTCATTCTTTATATTCTTTATATCGGCTTTTATTCCTGCCAGTGCTCTCCAGCTTAGTGTATGTTAGCCATCCGTGTACACACTGATTCACTGTGAAACTAGGTGCTATCAACAGGAAGGAAGACCTGCTGTAGAGGAGATACTAGGACTAGTGATTCCACCACCACAGAGAAAGATCCCAAGTTGATGATAAAAACTTTGATTCTGCCCTCACCATGTCACAATGACAACAAACTCTAACCAATCAGAGTCAGTTACCTTCATCTTCTTTTGCAGATTCAAGTTTTGTTTTGTCTTGACTGTGTCCATCTTCAGGGGTCTTAGACTCAGATGAACTATAACGATATCTCACTGGAAGGCCAAGTACGTGTTCAGTTGTTAATACCAAACTACAAAAAAACTACTTATCATGTAGTACTTTGTAGTACTTCAATCTAAACAGCTAAAACGCATATCACTGTTTCCTGAATGACCAACTAAAATAAATATTACATATCAATATTACTACATATTGTCTCAAGGGCAAAATTTAATTATTATTAACATCTAATCATGGACCAAATATGGGGGAATTGCAGGCCTGAAGTGGTCCCCGAGCCAGGAGTTTGCCACCCCTGATCTACATAATTAGTTTTGAGAGTGGTTTTGAGCTGTTTGAAAATAGTCTTTTTTTCTTTTTTTTTATTCTTATTTCTGTATTGCCTAAGAGAATGAAAAGTGATATTGTGACAGTTTAAAAGAGAACTTTTGTTTTTCATCATGTACACGTCTGCCTTTTATACTAGGAGTAAATCAAGACACTGTTCAAGCTACCAGACATGTTGGACGACCTCAAAAACCTTTGCTGTTGTAACTTTTTTTGTGGAAAACATGCTTTCTTGTGTTGAAGGAGTCTATTTTTTTTATATTTTTTCGCGGCACCTGAAATTCTTTTAGCATTCATGACTTGCTCTATTTTTCTGCGGGGTTGCTGGGCTTTTCCACATCCCCCTGGTGCGGTGCAGCGAGGCACTGCAGAAGATGGTCTGGAATATTAATCATAAGAAGAGAATCCCCCCTTTTTCATCCTTCCTCCCCTCTCTGTTCTTGGCTGCTGGTAGCATACAGTAAATTGTAATGAGTGAAGATAAAGTGGAGAAGAAAGGAGACGGTGAGATAATGATGATGCTCCATTCCAGCCTCGCCAGATTAGATGTTTTTCTGCTGGGCAACAGGAGTCTCCTCTTGTTGCTGAGTGGACTCAAGGGCAGAAGCCGTATTTCTCATTAGTGGAATAATGGCTTTGATGAGAGGAGGTGAACTCAAACACAGATGATGTAGGGCACTTTTTTTCTGTTTTCTTTTTTGTATCTTGCAGGCCTTTTCTGGCCGTACAAAATAATTTGAGCGATCACATTCTGTTCCAAAGGGCACTAATATGCAGGAAGGAAATTGATATTTAGTTCAACCCATTCATGCTATCACGCCACTGATGTTTCCTTGATAATAAATACTCAGCAAATTCTGGGAAATGAAAAAGACAGCTGCATTTCCCACAGATCCGAAGTAAAAAAACAAAAACAAAACTCAGTGCTGAGTGAGGTGGGGACACCAAAAACACCCGACAATTCAAGTAAAGTGGATGGAACGAAGGGTTGGATTGTCAATTCATACAAGTGTACAAAGAATCGTGTATAAAAGCACAGTCTCACAGGAGGCTGTCAACCAATGTCTTTTGTTAGGTTTAGACAGACACTGTATAAATGGGGACACTGTGGTGAATGATGTTTGTTACTAACCAGTAGCCTGCCCAATGCTTTGATGCTCTGTGTGTAGGTCTGCATGAGAGTTACCGTTTCACTAAAATCTTCTCAGACTTACAGTAGGAAACGATGGAGTGCATACTGTAGTTAATGCTCAGTTGTTCATGGCTGTAGTTCAAAATAACCATTTGTATGACGAGACAATTAGTATTTTATGAGGACACGTGCTAGGATACTGTACATGAGGACATTCTGTGGAATATACAGCTTCGAAGTCGAAGTGTTTCTGTAAATCCTTGCTTGTTGATGAACTGCCTAATGTCAGAGGAAAGGGTGAGGCTTTCTGAAAAACTTTGCTTTTGTTGAGCCAAATCTATTGAGCCTTGAGGGACCAAATCATATGGATCATCCATTAGGGTTATTTTTCAATCTGTAAATAAATGAATGAAGCAAAACAGAAACACAATTCATCTTGTCTTATTCCAAGGAAACTGTTGTTTATCCAGATTTATATTTCATTCTTTTCATTAACTTTTTATTTACACCCTTATCCAAAAAAACAAAAAAAAAAACAAATCCAGTCTGTGATGTTTTTTTTTCCTTCTCACTTTCTCTCTCCTGCCTCCACTTATAGCAAATAAATACAATACAGATTTACATGCATGCATTTAGCAGGTCTCACATCAGGAGGGTTTAGTAGTATTTGGTTCCACTGAGACTCAAACCCAGGACCCTCCACATGTAAGGCAGACATGTAGGGCAGTGACACCATAGAACCACTACTTACATACCTAACCCTTTAAATAAAATCAAAATCATTCTCAATGTCAAGATGAATCAAAGCTTTTGTGAATGGAGGAGAGTCGGAGCGGTGCCTCTGATTTAATCAGATTTATCACAAAGTAAATGTGGATTAATCATGATTAATTGTAATAATTCATTATGATTTATCATGATTAATCAAAGTAAATTGTCAATCGTGAATATGACAACATTCTACTTGGAACAGAAAGATAAACAACAACAGGTTTTATATATATATATATATATATATGTATATATACATAACAGTGCACAGAATACTTCGACGCTCCATTGCTGTGATTTAGATTTATCAGCTCACAACTGAGCTGTTACTCAAACAGTGAAGACGATGGTGTTCCCTGTTTTCGGCCGCAGCCTCACGCTCCCTCCCACGTGTTTCACATGTGAGGCTTTTCTTGCACATATGAATGAAGGAACCCGTGCCTCTCCAGTTTGTTAGCACCTCTGCTGCTTCTTCTGCCGCTGCCATTCACTGAGACCGTCAGGGAGGGGCTCTCTGCTCAGGGATGTCTTGATGGGAAAACCCCCATACTCCCCCCCTGTCAGCACCACCTCACAACCACCCACCCCTCTGTTTCCCTTACGCCCACGCATTTCCCTCCTCCTCCGTCTCTGTCTCAGACACACACACACACACACACGCAGGTACTATGAATATATAATAAGATGACTCACCGGGTTCCTCGGCGCTCACGATTTGATGGCTTTTCTGTTTCTCGTTTATTACATCCTGCATGACAACGTGGTGAAAATGTTCAACCGGTTTCACCTGAGAAAACTCCGGAGAGCATCACCACGCTGCTGTCTACTGAAGTATTACTACCAAATCTACAAATGACTGTGTCTTCACTGAAGTCCAAAATACAAAATCCTACCAAACTAGAACCAAACTCTCTTTTGATATAGCCTACATCAGGCAGATTAGATAAGTTTGTTGTTTTACCAAATAAAGAAGCTGAAGTGATTTTCCGAAAGTACCTCAACGTACCACTGAATAATTTGGAGGAAAACAATTGAAAGAATAAGATGTAAGACAGTTCTTGTTATGGAAAGAAAGAGAGAAGGGAGGTATTTAGGGTTGACAGAAATAAGGAAGGGGGGTGGGAGGGTGCATAATCATAAATGAAATCACCCTCTAAGAAGAAGAAGAAAAAGAGAGGAAACAAAGAGCAGGAGAAAACCCTAGAAAGCTGATGATGCCACGTCTCCCTCCCACGCAGTCTGCCTACGCTTTTTCTCCCTCTCCACCTCCTCCTCTCCTGCCCCCCCCTCCTCGCCCCCCGTTCCTTCCTCAGCTGCGTCATCCAGCTCCTCAGTGTCTGCGCCTCCACAAGCCACCCACCACCATGGGGGATAGGACACAACTCTCAATTGTGGAGCTTTGTTATCGCATGCAGTCGGAGGCTGGGGCTGTTTGTTAATGTGTCTGAAGTTGATGATGGACTGAATGGGGAGGGGGAGGTGGGGGGGGGGCACGCCCACACACGTGTGGACGATATTCCACATGATAACAACAAGTAATTATTTATTCATCAAGCGGCCCTTAAAAGCCCTTTAACTCCACTGATCTTATATTAAAGCCCGGTGAAAGCTCCTGCTCCCACATTAAAGTCTCCAGTGTTTGTCTTTGTGTGAAATGCAGCAGCGACCTCCTCTCCACCGTGATGCCCAGGAACATTAATGAGAGCGAAGCATTCAGACTGCATGTGTCTACTGTGTGATTATTGTGTATAGAACAATAGAGACAGAAATATCCTGCTCGTGCCCAGTGGAGAGCCAGCACTCCACCAGGTGAGCGGTCTCTGTGAGACAGTCTAACAAGAGGGTCAACACTGATGGACATTCAAACAAGGATGACTCATCCAAGCCAATCACAGCCCTGACTCCAGTATCCCTGCAGCCGTTGGATCCCAGAGGCATGTGATGTCAGTTGTTGTTCTCAGTAAAATGCAAAGGCATATGAGTCAAACTCAAGGCCCGTGGACCAAATGTGGTCCGCAAAGTAATTTTGTGTGGCCCACGGGAGCTTAAAAAATGTTGAATTGCCTTATAATGAAGTCCAGTTTCTTAACTTGATGAATTACATCTTTGTTACACAGACCAATGTAGGATATTTCTAACTTGAATAAATAATAATCAACTAGGGTCAGTTCCATAGTGCAGCAGTTAGCACGCCTGCCTCGGAAGCAGCAAGCAGAGAGTCCTGGGTTCGATTCCCAGAGGAACCACATTTTCAGAAGAAAAGAAAAGCCACACATAAATTAGTAAATTAGCACACCGACATGCACGGTGGTTCAGTGGATACGCTACGTGTCCGTGTTTTAAATATAGTTAAAAGACAATGATTGTTGACTGAGTGTTATGATTCATTTGAACAGCAGGAGTGAGTTGCTAATGTTAGCCCAAGCAGATTGGCTCTTATGGAAACTCGCTCAAAGAAAACAGGAAACAATCTCCCATTAAGGCAATCCAATTATAAAAAAAACAAAAAACGAACCAATGTCCTGCTCATTAAATCAGAGATAACAAGTGCTTTCAAAGGAAATAAGTGTTAGGTGGCCTCCTCATCTTTGTGTCTCCCTCCTCTCCCTCCTCACCCCCTGCCTCCCTCACAGTGTGTTTCTCAGCACTAGTTTACTGATTAGCCTGATCCATAAATAAGTAATCAAAGCCAGAGCAGCGACATTCCACTTCCCCTAATTATCAGCATCCTCTGTAGCTCACACACACACACACACACACACGTTGCTCTTTAGTTAATTCTCACAATAAACCAAGATGTGTGTGTGTGTGTGTGTGTGTGTCAGTGATGTGATTGGTGTTATCCTGTTGGTGAGTGAATCTTTGTCTTCACCCCAAGTAATTCACACGTGTGAATAACTGTACCTACATTTGTATGTGTGTGTGTGTATGTGTGTGTGTGTGTGTGTGTGTGAAGCAGCCAAAGAGATGATGGGCTGAAGAAAAAAGGAAAAACATACTGTCAGTACGAGTGTGACTTCACTGACTGCAGCAGAATGACTCACCCAGTTGCTATGGCAACCCAACGACACACACACACACACGCACACACACGCTCGCTCACTAATGTACTCTTTCTACTGCTGCTGAAGTGGCGGCCAACAGGCAGAAAACACATTTTCAAAAATGGCGGAGGAAAGTGTTCTGAGAGTGTAGAGGTGCACGCAGTCGGGATGAAATCTTCAACACCAGAAAGGCCAGGACAGCAGTGAAAGGCTGCCATCTCTCTCTCTCTCCATCTCTCTCTCTCTCTCCTCTTCTCCTCTTCTCCTCCTCACCACTGCGGTATGAAGCCCGGTGCCTGCATCACAGACACCGGTGGACTGATGTGTGTGGGTGTTACGCCTAAATGCCTTTTGGAAAGTGAAAAACAATGGTCTGACAAACCAAATCATCTCAGTGTTTCTCTCCACCACTGTGAAATCCAAGAAGGTTTTCAAAAACTTCCCCTTTAACAACAAAGGACTTCCTGTCAAGCCCTGTCAGAATCTGCATGATTTGATAACAGTCTACCAGTGGATCACTCCGCTGTGGAAATACAGGCTGTACTGTACAGTATGCCAGTGTGTGGAAGAACAGTCAGCTGCCTGTGTTGGGAGGCACACGACCTCTATGGTCAAAGTTAGATTTAAAAAACCTGTCTGCTGATTAGTTTAGAAACGATAGGTTCAGATGGACTGGACTGTTTCAGGGAATGTGTCCCTGTCATGTTCCTATTTATTGTCCTTATCAACCCTGAATGTCCAGTGTGTAACATAGGCCCTCAGATCATCAACTCTGCTTGGCAACAAGTGATAACATTACTATATGTATATAAAAAACAAAACAAAACAGGAACCTTAACATTATGTCATATCATTCCTAAAAGAAAATAATGTACTAAGCTGGTCTGAAATCCTCGACCTTTAATTTTAGGTTTTGAACTGAGATTTAACAAAACTGTAATTTAACAGTATTTACTGATATGAGAGAGACATCAGCCAGGAATCAACCATTTCACATCGTTACATTTACCAGGTTAAGCCAAAATGCTAATCTCTCTCACACACATACTTTCTCTGCCGAACTTCGTGGAGCAGAAATTTTGCATTAAATTGCCTTGGAATTTATTATCTTATTAGTCTTTATAAATCAATTCTGATGACTTACGTGTTAATTTTTTACCTATATTTTAGTAATGCATGAACTGTGTTTTTTAATTCAACTGTGACCAAAACACTGGTACTACTTACAGCCTCTCTCTCTCTCTCTCTCTCTCTCTCTCTCTCTCTCTCGCTCTCTGACTGTGTGTTGGTTCCTACTTTAGCTTTACTTGTGGTGACATTTAGAAACTGTTGTTGTAGAGCAACTTTTTCCTCTTTGCAACAGGGTAGTGAGACAGTACCGTGAGGTTCAAGCCTTATTTGGCATTGTGTGTGAAGTGCCCATAAAAAATGTGTGTGTGAATGCATGTGTAAATGTGTGAGTGTGTGTCACTTTGCATTGGCCTGCTGGAGGGCTGACACCGACACCATGCTGCAATTAGCAAAACAAGAGACAGTGACATATTGAGCACTGCTGGCACCTTCTGTTAGTCAGCTTGCAAAAACCCTCTTCAGGGCAATAACTGCTGACA